GGAGAATTGCCTATTTGCTTATTTATTCACTAGTTTTATGCCCCACCTCTCTCCCCATTGGGAATCCAGGGTGGCTCACATAACTCTCCTGTCCTCCATTTTATCCTCACAACAACCCCGTGAGGTAGTCTACCCTGAGAGTTTGTGACTGGCCCAAGGCTCCCCAGCAAGCCTCCATGGCAGAGAGGGGATTCAAACCTGGTTCTCCTGACCACTACATCACCCTGGCATAGGAAACACCTACTCCTAAACTACTAGAACATGGGTAACATGGGTTTCCTTCTGTTTGTTACCCATTTTCTTTCATTAAAAACAGAGTGGTAGAGAGAAATCCACCTGGAAGGCCAAGAAGGTCCCAAAGATAGGAAACAAGAAGGAAATATTCTTTGTTGTTGAGTAGCATGTTAGCGAAATCCTTTTATTCACAAATGCTCAGAGGGAACTAGGAGAAGATATCCAGATGATTATTAGCCCTTGCTGCCTGGCTTTCTCAGTAGACACAGGGCAATTCTGCATCTAGCATTTGCTTCACACTTTCTCAACTGGGAGGAAAAGTGCAGCTCAAAACCACATCCAAATACCTCCGGGCAACGCTGTACTGACTGCAAAGCCACCCCTGAGGAGTGTTCCCTCTAAGGTGAGTTAGTGTGAGCTAGCTCACAGTTTTTTAGCCTCCAGCTCACACATTTTTCTCTTAGCTATGGAAGGATGGCTCCAGAGCAAACTAATTTATGCAGCCAAATTGCTCCCTCACAACTTTAATGCCAGTGGTTCACAAAGTAGGATTTTTGCTCACAAGACTCCACAGCTTACAGGGAGCATCGCCCCTGAGTGGCCATAAAATGGCCATAAATCTATGCATCAGGTTCCATAAAAGTTGATGATCAAAGGAAGCAAAAGTGGCATGGAGTGTGGAAGCTTCAATAAAACCAGCTAATCAAAGGAAGTGAAAGCAGCATGCAATGCAGAGGGGAGGGGTATAAATCCAATCTCCTCCTCCTCCTCCTCCTCTTCTTCGCTCAATGGAATCCAGTGGTGATTGTGACTACACATTTATATCCTAACTTTCCACTGGCATGCTCAGGAGGGCGGTGTTACACAGGGAATATGATGGTAGTCTATTGAACTGTATCTTACTGCTTGGTTTTCAGAGGGATGTGATCCAGTTTTCACAATGTTCATGATATGCCGAATCTTCACACTGTCTTAATGTGTCATTTTCTAATTGTGAGATTCAGTCTTGTTGCAGTGTTGCTATATGTCTTATATGGTCTCTATTACATCTCTTTTTGTAATGCAATCCTTGCATTCTGAGAAAGGCAGACTATAAATAAAGGATCCCTCCTCTGAATAAGTCTTCTTCTTCTTGATGTGTAAGGTTGAGAGGGAAGGGGAGGGAAGGGGGGAGGGAGGGAGGGAGGAAGGAAGGAAGAAAGGAAGAAAGGAAGAAAGGAAGAAAGGATTACTCCTCTACTGTGAAGGAAGGAAGGAAGGAAGGAAGGAAGGAAGGAAGGAAGGAAGGAAGGAAGGATTACTCCTCTACTGTCTGAAGGTTAACCCCAGCCTCGGTTACATTTCAAGGTCATGTAACACAGTCTTGGAACTGGCTTATATATAGGTAAAGGTAAAGGTTTCCCTTGCTTGAAAGCCAGTCGAGTCCGACTCTAGGGTTGTGGCGCTCATCTCCGTTTCAAAGCCGAAGAGCCAGCGCTGTCCGAAGACATTTCCGTGGTCATGTGGCTGGCATGACTAAACACCGAGGCGCACGGAACACTGTTACCTTCCCACCGAAGTGGTACCTATTTATCTATTTGCAATTTCTTGCTTTCAAACTGCTAGGTTGGCAGGAGCTGGAACCAGAGACGGGAGCTCACTCCGTCATGTGGCACCCTGGGTCTCGAACTGCTGAACTACTGCCCTTCCACAGCCTGCAGTTCAGCGTCTTAACCACTTGAGCCACCGCAGCTCGATATATACACTCATATAAACCACTGCAGGCTTATATATACACTTATACATACGGGAAAACATAACAGCTCAGTGCAATATTCCCGTAGCATTGGGGTGGGCAAAGGCAGAGAATATAACTTTGCAACTTGTTCAGGAAGGAGCTATTTTGCACACGTGCAGGTGGAAGGAGGAGTCCTTCGCTCAAAGGAACAGCCGTGAGAACATGGTCCCAAGACAACAAGGGATAACCCCTGAGTATTGAAACCAAGTTATTACACGAGCCAAAATGATGGCAACTTAAAGAATTAGATCATTAGTGGCCCCGTTCAAACGTCGAATTTGCCGCTGGAGAGCCATGAATGCTGGGCAGATTTTCAGGGCGCGATCACACCGCAACATCTGGCACGCGTAGTGCACCCGTGGCCAACCCGTGGCGTGCCACCGAAGCGGCGCGGTTAAAAAGTATCTCATGTACTAGCAAATGGTTTGCCACGGGATGCCGACAAAATCATTCCGTGGCATGGCGCCACCACACGGCTTTCCCCTGGCTGTCCTCCTTGGCGCACACGCGCTGACGGACGAAACCAGGCTGTGCCCACACAGCGAAGAAGTGTGTGACTGTGGACTTACCCAGTGATCTCTGATGTGAAGTCAGGTCTGTACAAGCCAAAGAGTCCTGTACAAGCCAAAGAGAGCCAGTTTGGTGTAGTGGTTAGGTACGTGGACTCTAATCTGGGAGAACCAGGTTTGATTCCCCACTCCTCCACTTGCACCTGGCTGGATGACCTTGGGCAAGCTGTAGTTCTGATAAGAGCTGTCCTTGAAAAAGAGCAGTTTCTCTGTCAGAGCTCTCTCAGCCCCACCTACCTCACAGGGTGTCTGTTGTGGGGAGGGGAAGGGAAAGGAGTTTGTAAGCCGCTCTGAGACTCCTCTGGGTAGTGAAGGGCGGGGGATAAATCCAATCTCCTCCTCCTCCTATTTTCAGTTCAGAGCAATGCTCCTTCTAAGGCAGTGGTTCTCAACCTGTGGGTCACGACCCCTTTGGGGGGCGAACGACCCTTTCACAGGGGTTGCCTAAGACCATCGGAAAACACAAATTTTCGATGGTCTTACAATAGCAACGAAAATAATTTTATGGTTGGGGGTCACCACAACATGAGGAACTGTATCAAAGGGTCGCGGCATTAGGAAGGTTGAGAACCAATGCTCTAAGGTGTGGAGTCCTGTGAGCAAAAATTCTACTTTGTGAGCTACTGGCACTAAATTTGTGCATGAGCGATTTGGTTACTGAACTAATTAGTGTACTCTGGAGCCCTCCTTCCTGAGCTAAGACAAAAATGTGTGAGCCGGAGGCTAAAAAACTGCAAACTACCTCACACTCCCTCAGCTTAGGGGGAATATTGGTTCAGAGTGAAGTAGAACATGTAAAAGATGGGAAACACAAGGCAAAGTGTGCAGAAAACTGGCTTACGTTTATTGACTTCTGAAAACATAGCACTGATAGTAAGTTTTATGGGTTTTTTTAACACTATACATGTTTGGCTCTTTTGTACACACTGTAATTGAACTTTATACAGTTTTCTGCTGTGCAGGTTAGAACAAAGCATTGTGCATTTTGTTAATTTTAATAAACTGCAGAGGACCAGTCCCTCTCAAGAGCCACGGAACAGAATGCAGAGAAGATGGCACGGAATTGAGGGGAAACCCTCCCTTCCGAGCTGTATTGATGCGAGAGGAAGACTAAAAGAAGACCTTCGTCGCCAAGATCCCAGAGAGAACCAGAAGGATGGATCCAGACACTGGAGACCCCTTGTTGGCGGCTCGGCAATGACCTGTTTGAGCTTTCCCGAAGCTATTAATGCCAGTTTTTAACCCGAAACAGATCTGCTCAGAAGCGCAGCCCTTCATGGTGGTATCCATTAAGACCCCTGAAAATGAAAATCAGACGTGACTTCCCGCATTCCTGATAACTGCCACCCAAAGAACTTACATCTGTTCACCCCTGCCTTTAAATGTGCACACACAGTCAAAAAATACATTATCCTTATACTAAAGGTAAAGGTTCCCTTGCTCGAAAGCCAGTCGAATCCGACTCTAGAGTTGTGGTGCTCATCTCCGTTTCCAAGCCGAAGAGCCAGCGCTGTCCGAAGACATTTCCGTGGTCATGTGGCCGGCATGACTAAACACCAAGGCGCACGGAACGCTGTTCCCTTCCCACCGAAGTGGTACCTATTTATCTACTTGCAATTTCTTCTGTTCACCCCTGCCTTTAAATTTGCACACACAGGGTGGATAACACAATCCAAAAATACATTATCCTTATACTAGCAATGCTGATAACTGCCACCCATTCCTGATAACTGCCACCCAAAGAACTTACATCTGTTCACCCCTGCCTTTAAATTTGCACACACAGGGTGGATAACACAATCCAAAAATACATTATCCTTATACTAGCAATGCTGATAACTGCCACCCATTCCTGATAACTGCCACCCAAAGAACTTACATCTGTTCACCCCTGCCTTTAAATTTGCACACACAGGGTGGATAACACAATCCAAAAATACATTATCCTTATACTAGCAATGCTCTTGTCATGGGGTGTGTGTGCTTGTGTGTACACATGGGGGTATGTGGGAGGATGGATACGAATTGGATACTACAAAGACCCCTGCCAGATCTCTGACTGAGGGAATGGGACATCCAAGGCCTGAAGACAGGTTTTGCCTTACTAGCAAATCAAAATGTGTCCATGTTAAAAAAAATAATAATAATAACGAAGAGAGCCAGTTTGGTGTAGTGGTTAAGAGTGCGGACTCTAATCTGGGAGAACTGGGTTTGTTTCCCCACGTCGCCACATGCAGCTGCTGGTGTGACCTTGGGTCAGTCACGAGTTCTTTCAGAGATGTTCTCTCAAGGGCAGTCCTCGAAAGAGCTCTCTCAGCCTCACCTACCTCACAGGGTGTCTCTTGTGGGAAGGGGAAGGGAAAGGAGACTGTAAGCTGCTCTGAGACTCCTTCGGGTAGTGAAGGGATATAAATCGAATCTCCTCCTCCTCCTCCTCCTCCTCCGCCTCTTCTTCTTCTTCTTCTTCTTCTTCTTCTTCTTCTTCCTGATTTTCAGAGAACTAACAACCTGATTTTTGGAGAACAGTAGAAAAAAGTCCAGGAGTACCTTAAAGACTAACAAAATTCGTGGCAGGGTGTGAGAACCCGGTTCTCCCAGATTCGAGTCCGCGCACTTAACCACGACACCAAACTGGCAAGGGAGGTGGGGTAGGAGATCTTCCGGCAGGCCCGTCTTTCCACTTCCCAGGCTCCTGGTAGGGATTGGGGGAGGGGAGAGGGGGGAAATTCCAGGAAAGGAGGGGGAGGGGAGTGGAGGCAGGGCAAATTTGAAAGGGGGCAGAGCCCCGTGCACCCACCACCAGCTACAGGCCTGTGCTCTTTATTTTTTTGTAGCAAAATGTTCCCTGCTATGAAGAAGCAAGCCCTTGATCCTTAATGGCAACCGTGGGCAGAAGGTCACTCCATTTATCTCCTTCATTTGTAACCCCCCCTTTTCTCCCCAGTGTGTTGGGAGTGACCCCTCACTCCCGAAGCAGATAAAAGCAGCCTGAAAACATGCCAAAGGTCTACACTGCTAAGTGTGAAGATGCAGAGACAGACAGAATACTAGAACTGTCAGGCTAGAACCTGGCGTCCCCCCTAACTACGCTACTGACTGGCAGTGGTCTCCAGGTGGACAAAAAGGCACTACCCATGGGTAGCTCCTGACCGGTGGAACTCGCTGCCACAAGATGGGGTGATGGCAGCCAGCTCAGATGGATTTTTAAAGGGGGGTGGTGGTGGACTGATTTACGGGAAAGGCCTGTCAATGACCATGAAGCACAGTAGCTGCCTGGGACCTCCAGGATCTGATTGTCAGATGGTGGAGAGCAGTTGGGAAGTTGTGAACCGTTGACAGGGGGTCTTGTTTCTAGGCTTCCCTGTGGCCGGTCACTCTGGGAAGTGAGATGTGAGGCTAGGCGGACCACTAATCTGATCTGGTGGAGCTACTCTGATGTACTTAGTTCTGCCACTGAGATATGGCCTTCCACGTCTACTAAGGCATGGTGTCATGGACAGCGTGGTCCCGCAGCCACTGCTCTTCTTCTCTAATTCAGCAGACTCTCTAATTCAGCCACTTCTCTAATTCAGCAGAAGTTAGCTGTCATTGGGAATAAGATAAATCCAGGCAGTACTAAGAGGATGGGGGCGGGGGAATCCCAAAGGCACACAGAATTACCGGCATCATTATGTAAATGGGCATCCATGCAGTAGATCTCGGAGCCAGTACAATAGGCCACCTCCGTCACACATGAACTTGATAAAGAATAGCAGGCTGGGCATCGCATTCCATTGGCCGTGGCGTTTATCGGCGGCACTGAAAAAGGAAGAAGGCATCAGACAGCTTAGCAGGAGAGACTGCAGCAGGGTGGCTTAAAACGTGAGCTCTGAATCAGAAAGTTCCTGCCAGGGCAGTGCTATCCAGTGGGCAAAAGGGGTCTCAGGGCCCACCAAAAGCCGTCTTATCGGGTGCTGCTAGATGTCAGGCCCCTTGATGGATCACTGCCCAACCGTTAACGGTGAAGCAAGGTTGAGTCGAATGAACACAGCTAGGGTTCATTTCGTAGAGAAAGAGGTGCAGGAGCTCATTAGCACAACTCATTAGCATAACTTATTTGCATATGCCACACACCCTGACATCACTGGAAGTGTGTCGGAAGGCAACACCCACCGCTCAGGCTCCACCCCAAAAACTGTTTTGGATTGCTAGCTATTTGTTTTTTTTGGGGGTGCAGATCTGTCCTCGCAGAGGAGGGAGAGCTTGTACCTGAATAAAACCTGTTCTTAAAGGTGCCACTGGACTCTTTTGGACCAGGGGGCCGGGGGGGGAGGCTCTACAGTTTACCTGGCTGCTTCTTGCTCTGACTGAGGGCTGCTGGGAGCAGGGGGTGGGGCTTGTTGCATGTGCCCACCCCCTGGGCTCTTTACTGCCGGAGCTCCGCTCCTGTACGTTCCTGCAGGAAATGACCCCTGAACACAGCCACGAATCAGTCAAAGCTCCCAATCTGAACTGTCTCCTAATCTCCTAGGGAGGACCTTCTGGAGCTGGGTCATGCTGGCAAACAGGCAGCAAGAGAGGACAAGAGAAGAGACTGTGGCTCTGTGACAATGTGGTGGTGCCTGGAATTGGTTTCCACCAACAGGGGTTGGAGCCACAAGGCATCCTCCCCATCCACTGATTGTCTGACATGGTTGGATCCCATCATCCACAGGTATAAGGACCAGTGTTCCGAGCGCACTGATTCATGCAGCAGCAAAATCGCTCGCGCACAACTTTGATGCCAGTAGCTCACAAAGTAGGATTTTGGCTCACTGGACTCCACAGCTTAAAGGGAGCATCGATAAGGACTGGAGGATCTTCCCAAATCCCTACCCTTGCCTCTTTCCAGAGCCATTTTCAGTCCTGGGACTTGTATGTTCTAAAGAGGTTAGCTTGGAGAAACAACAATCGAGGGGGTGACATGATAGAGGTTTACAGAATTACGCATGGGATAGAGAAGGCAGAGGGGTAAAAGTCCTTTTCTCCCTTTCTCACAATACAAGAACTTGTGGGTACTCAAATTAAGGAGCAGTAGGCTTAGAACAGAGAAAAGGAAGTCCTTCTTCACCCAAAGAGTACTTAAGACATGGAATTCACTCCCGCAGGAAGTGGTGGCAGCTACAAGCACAGACGGCTACAAGAGGGGATTAGATAAACATATGGAGCAGGGGTCCATCAGTGGCTATTAGCTACAAGGTATAGATAATAACGGAGCTGCGGTGGCTCAAGTGGTTAAGACGCTGAACTGCAGGCTGTGGTAGGTCAGTAGTTCAGCAGTTCGAGACCCGAGTGTGCCGCATGACGGAGTGAGCGCCCGTCTCTGGTTCCAGCTCCTACCAACCTAGCAGTTCGAAAGCAAGAAATTGCAAGTAGATAAATAGGTACCACTTCCGGTGGGAAAGTAACAGCGCCAGCCACATGACCATGGAAACGTCTTCGGACAGCGCTGGCTCTTTGGCTTTGAAACGGAGATGAGCACCGCAACCCTAGAGTCGGACTCGACTGGCTTTCGAGCAAGGGAAGCCTTTACCTTTTTATAGATAGGAACACTCTGTCTGGGGCAGTGATGCTCTGTATTCTTGGTGCTTGGGGGGGGCAGCAGTGGGAGGGCTTCTGGAGTTCTGGACCTGCTGGTAGACCTCCTGATGGCACCTGGTTTTTGGCCACTGTGTGACACAGAGCGTTGGACTGGATGGGCCACTGGCCTGATCCAACATGGCTCCTCTCCTGTTCTTATGCAATAGCTGTACCAGTGGGGTGGCTGTCCTGGGGAGGTTGAAGGGGCAACATTGTTGCTTCATTCCTCTCTATGAGCAGTGATGGGCTCAGGTAACAGACCAGAAGAGGGATCCATTCCCTTCCCTGTCCCAACTACAGCCACCCAAATGGTGCAGCTATTCATACGTGCAAGGCCCTTAACCCTGGGAACAAACCTTCCAGGGACTGGAAATGGGTCTGGGGCAGAGGGGAAAGTAGAGGCAATCCCTGTCTTTGATCATGATTTGTAAGCCGCCTTGAGTTCCACAAGGTGGAAAGGTGGCTAACAAATATTTTTCAATAAATAAAATAATAACTAAATAAAATCCCGAACCATCACTGTTTTCCCCTGGTGGTTTTGGGCAGGGCTTTTTTTTGTAGAAAAAGCCCAGCAGGAACTCATTAGCATAATAGGCAACACCCAACAACAGAAACTCATTAGCATATTAGGCCACACCCCTGACAGCACAGCTCATTGGCATATTAGGCCACACCCCCATGTTACCAGAAGTGTGCTCATCCAGCCACACCCACCTTTTGCTTCTTATT